GATTCCAATATAATAAATTATAACCGTGGAATATTAGTGTTTGAGCCTTTTATATTATATTACACACACACACACATGTATGTATATATATATATATATATATATATATATATATCTCTCTATAAAAAGGTTTCAGAAGTTAATGCAAACATTAATAACCAGATAGTTTTTATGCATTGTTCAATGTTTCTTGATAGAAATGCCACGAAAGTTAGAAGATTGTCATTGGACAGGAATTAATACAAGAATGATTTAATACAAGAGTAATTTGGCTAATATGAAATCACTGTAAAACCATTTTATTATAGAATTTCTATTTATTTCATTTATTTATTGGTTTATGACGCCATAGATATATCAATAAAACACAATGAAAAATATACTTTCAAGAAATTTAACTTTTTTTTTATCTTTAAAATAGCGAATATAGTTTTTTTTTTTAAAAATTCGTTCCTATATTAAAAATGTCCTCTGATATTTACGAATATTGCGCACAGAAGACACTTTTCGTGTCATTCTCGCGAATTCATCTGCATTTCTTTTAATGTTATATAATCTGCTACACTTTTCATTTAAAAGTTTGTCTCAATAAAATATTGGGTTGGTGCATAATTATCAGGCGTTTTTAAGTAATATTTGTTATGACAAAAGAAACATAATTTAACAATAACATTTTTAAACAATTCTTCCGAAGCGTATGATTATCGACACGCATTTTTACAACCCGAAAATAAAATAATATTTTTATTAAAAAAAAGTAAACAAAACTGCAATTTTTATTAAGAAATAACTCGCCGGCAAAAACGCCTGATAATTGTGCACCAAATCAATATCTCTTATATAAAAAATTTATATCGGTGTAGTTTTATTTTGATACGCCATCAAATATTTTGTTCTTTTTGAAAGAATGAGATTTTTTTTTTTTTTGTCTCGATTCAAATTTTAAACTTTTCAATAAAGTCACCATGTATTCTTTGTTTTAAAATTGTCGCGATGCTTAGTTTTTTTTCCTCTAAAGGCCATTTTTTTCCAAACACGCCATATGACTTGCGAATTTTCTTTATACACATTCAAGGTCAAATATTATGCACTGATACAGTCAAAATTAGGAATAAAGTCATTGTTGTGGGTAGAGATGAATACAAGCTTTATTAGCAAAACATGGCTAATGTAAATATGTTTTAAATCATTTTATTGCTGCGAAGCCTTCTGACAGATGACGGTAAATGCGACACTGATATACGTAGACGTATTGGAATGGCCAAGGACGCAATCCAAAATTTGGGCAGAATGTTGCGAGACAGAAAGATTTCTTTGGTAACGAAGAAAAAATACTGAGCTGTTACTTGACATCTGTCCTTCTTTATGGCAGCGAATGTTGGACGATTTCCTCAAAGATGAAGAAGAGACTCGAGGTGACAGAGATGTGGTTCTACAGAAGGATGCTGAGGATATCATGGACCGAGCGTGTGAGCAACGATGAGGTCTTCGGGAGGATGCAAACAAGGAGGTAGCTGAGATTTAATATCTTTGGTAACAAAGAAAAGAATACTGCGCTGCTATGTAATAGCTGTCCTCTTTTACGGCAGAGAATGTTGAACGGTCTCCTCAAAGATGAAGAGACTCGAGGCAAAAAGAGATGTGGTTCTACAGATGGATGCTAAAGATATCATGGACTGAGCGTGTGAGCAACGTTGAGGTCTTAGAGAGGATACAATCAAGAAGGAGGCTCATACTTAACATCAGGAAGAGGCAGCTGAAGTTCCTGGGACACATAATGAGGAGGGCCTGGAGAATCTGATACCCACAGGTTGAATAGAGGGAAAGAGAGACAAGAGAAATCAACGCGTGACATACCTGGCGGGCTTAAGCAAGTGGATGACAGAACGTGGTTTGGTGGAGAAAGCAGAGGGAAGGAATTTGTTAAGATCTGCAAGGGACAGAACGAGGTGGAGAGCCATGATCGCCTACGTCCTGAAAAGACACGGTACATAGAAAGAATTCTAGCAAAGTATTAAAAATCAGTAAGAAATGGATTTCGAACGCAATCAATAAGAGAGGCGTTCTGGAAATTTTCTCATATTTTTGCTTATTTTATTGACTTCAGTTTTACGTATTTTCTTGTATTTTCACCCATTTCACCCCAAGAAAGACAATAAAGCCTCTAAGACGCAAGGAGTTACTGGGTGTGAGAAAATAAAAAAGATCAATATTAAAGAGAGAAAACATTAATTAAGAAGACAGAAGATAACGATTGACATTGCATTTCAATTTTTGAAGATCAAAGTTGACTGAGAAGCAAGAAGCCGGAAGAGAGTTCCACAGGCGAGAAGTGCGATAGAAGAAATTGTTATCATAGAGCTTGCATCTCACCATTTCAACTGTAAAATAATGAGACCTCGCCGCTAATCTAGTACTGCATTCAAATTCTATGTACCAAAAATGAAAGCTGACCAGAACAATTACCATGAAATTATTTATAGAAAAGGCAGAGGGAAGCTACATTACGACAGATGGAAAGTGACAGAAGACGAGATGCCAGATCAAGATCATTGACATTGCAGAATATTCTTTGGATTTTATCAAGAATCTCTAAGTATATAGCAGGAGCATCAGACCATGTGTGGCAGCATTTTTTCTCATTATTCCACATCTAATGTTTTGTTTTAGTTACTGCAGCTATATCTTCATGGTTAGAGGAATATAAATGACTGCTGAAAGATTTCAGATTTTATTTACAGGCCGAACCAGTGACATTCTTAAAATAAAATCACCACTAAAGAGATATATTTTGAATTGTTTTTTTTTGTTTGTTTGTTTTTTTTTTAAGATCTTTCTTTGTATCTTTGTCATGTTTTATTGTAAAATCTTGAAAACCCACAGGATATAAATATCTAATCTTTGCATTTCATTGCTTTATTCCTGCCCTATTAGATTTCATAGATGGAGTATTTTTAATTTTTTGCTATTTTTTTAAATTTTATTTACATTTTATTTACTCATTTATTTATTTTTTTGAATATAAAATTCTGTGAATTCTGTGAATTCATGATATTTTTCAAGTCTTGAGGATATAAATAATCAAATTTCTAATTTGATCTAATGTTTAAAATATGCAAACAGATAAGTTTTTTTTTTCTTTGAACAACTTAGATTTATTTACCTATTTTATTGTTATTACTATTATTATTATTATTATTGGTGGTGGTGGTGGTGGTGGTGGGTGTAGGAGGCGACATTTGGGTATTGCTCGGTGAAATAAGTTCAAATAAATTGAATCAAAGAAAATCAAAAGAAAAAAGAAAAGAAGAATGGGGAAAACGGAGAACAGTTGTGAATCAGCGAAGATTGGAATCGAAATGAAACAGAAAAGAATTTGTCTCTCTGTTTCTTTCTTGTTATTTCAATCAAAGAAACGGAAAAAAAACGAAATAAAGGAATTGAGTGAAGATTGAAAAAAGTAAAAGAAAGAAAGAAAGAAAGAAAGAAAGAAAGAAAGAAAGAAAGAAAGAAAAGGTAAGAGTAGAATTAAATAACTGAGTAAAAGAAAGAAAGTAAGAAAAGAAAAGATCAGAAAAGAATGACGGAAAGGAATAAAAGAAAGACAAACACTATGATAAGAAAGAAAAATAAAAAAAGGTAAAGAAAGAAGACACAAGAGTTTCAAAAAAGAAAGAAAAAAACATGAGAAAACTCCGAAAAACAAATAATAAAAAAAATAATAATCCAACTATATATTAATTATCAATGTGTATTTATTTATATATTTCCTATCCCATCTGCACTGGAAATGGGGGTAAATCAACATTTTAGTAAATTTACGTCTAATTACTTCCCTTAGTCGTTTTAATAATCTGTATAAATAAAATATTTATCTAAATTTGGACAAAATTACTTCCCGTTTAATCAATCAGTTTTATTTTACACCTACGTTTCTTAGATTGCAGTCTTATTTGTTCACGCTTTTTATCTGTGGCACGCAGATACCTTTGTCTATTATGTGATTGTCTTGCATCAACTTGGTCTTGAAATAGGCTTTGTCGTCGCTGTCTTTGTCGTTCTGTTGCTAATCTTTGTTTCCATTCCACTTTTATATTAAACACATAAAATTTTTAACATGAAAAGATATTAAGCATAAGGCGATTTATATAATACCAGGAGTAATCAATGAATCCTTGAATGTCTAGAAAATATAAAAGGGAACGGGTTAATTAAACGGTTGAATGATTTCTGTTATAGTTGGGAATAATTTATCTCTGCTGTATTGAATCTTCGGATTCATTGCATCTCAGTATTAAAACTTTCTTAAAATTTCGGTCATTTTTAACGTCACGGCTACACTAGTAATAATAATAAATGTACAGCCTGAATGTACTGACGCCATGGATCACAGTAACAAATATTACCATCTTTATTACATTCATTGTAATATCTCATCTTCTATATGGCAGTTACTGCTGCCCAATGTCCTCACACACGAAGAAGAATCTTGAAGTGACAGAGACGTGGTTCTACCGAAGGATACTGAGAATGCAATGCAGTTGACAATTGAACAACGTAGAAGATTTTAAGTAAAAAAATAGACGAGGAGACTGGTATTTAGATCCAGAGAAAGAGATTTGAAAATTCTGGGACGCATAATGAGGTAAGAAGGCCTGGAGAATTTAACACTCACAGGACATATTGAAGGCGAGAGAAACGTGTGAAAATAGCGATTAATTTCCTTTAAGTTTTTGTGTGATTGGATGGCATTACAAGTGAAAGGAAGGACGGTAACGTGGCAGAAGTTTTCTTAACTCAACAAAAGACAGAAAGATGTGGAGAGCTATGATCTTCTACGTCTAGAAAGTACTTAGCACCTAAAAGAAGATCAGTACTGATTGATGCGTGAGTGGCGTGCGGTTATTTGCACAGAAAATGGAAACCAAGTTCAATTTCCGCGCTAATTCTCTTGAGAAAGTTATGGATCCATCACTTCTTGGTGGCTTACAGCTATCTTACATTGAAATAACGGCTCCCGTACGATCGCCAAAGTTAAGCAACCTCGAGATCTGGTCAGTACTTAGATGGGTGACTTGGGAATACCAGGTGCTGAAACTGGGATGTGCAGAAGGTGTAATGGATATTGACTCAGAATTTTTAATCACCGAGCCGAGTTCCAATTGCAGTTGGGGTTCGTTATATTCGCTTATACGGAAATAGCCCCGGGAAAGGTGCGCATCCACATTTTCTCCCCCCTCTAACTCCCCACCTCAAAGTTACGGGTAAATTAGTAAGACATGTATCATTAATCATTTATATCTCAATCCCCCCGACCCCCAAATTCTTACAATCTAAAAAAATAATTTCTAGCTTGAAATAATCTGCAAAACTTTGATAGGTCGGAGAAAACGAATCAAGCAAACTATCTCTTTACTCTCACCTCAGCACAAGGTGGGGGATTTCAAAGTAGACATAGCAACCAATTTAGGAGAAGGAGAACTCTCCAGAGGGCAACGAGAAAACAAAGCTTCTTCAAAGAACTCTTACCGCGGTTTATAAATTGATAGATATTGAAACACTCCAGTCTTTATAGACTTCAAAAGCGTCTTCTTGGAGATGAATTACTTTCCACCTTCCAACTTCTCTCTCACAGGCTGGGTGTGGCGTATTTCTCACTGCTCTCTCCCTACTACCATGGAAAGTGCTCGGACGAACGACATTCCTTGGTTCCACCACGTCTAACCTTCACGGTTAAGACCCGCCATGCCACTTACATTGTAGCAAGCCACCCACATTCCCTCCGTATCCTATCGGCGAGAAGTAAGTTCCACTCGAACAGCTTCTTCTTGCAAACCTCTGCTCTGTTGAAGAGACTCCCGAGAGGATGTTTCTCTGATCACCACAATTTTACCTATTCAACCCTAGAGTTAACCGTTATTTTCATCTCCTATCCATATAAACTATCCTTTATCGTAACCCTCTGCCTCGAGTGGCTCCCGGGCCTTGTACAAGGTGAACCTTACTGTAAAATGAATTAAATAAATGAGTTGCAGACAACTATGATCGCCTATGTTCTGGAGTGGTATGGTTTTAAACATCACACAGGAGAGCACATTTCAATTGTTCGTATATTGAATTAGATTTAACAGGTAATTTCTTTATGTAATTTGGGTACGCAGGGTACGATTCTTTCCTCGGATTTTCTCTATCAGGTTCTCATTTTGCTTAACACCTATCCTCTTTCGTCGTGTTCATAAAATGTTTTTCTCAATACTCGCTACGGCAGTTACACATTATGTATATTTTTATTCCTATTGTTATAGCATTGTTGTAGTATGTATATATTCACATATAACACCCTAAAAATATTTTAAGTTTTGTCATTTTTAACCCATTTTTAATATTAATAAATTAAGCCAAAATTATCATAGAATTTTCTATAGTATCCATGTTTTTTTTTTTTTTTTGTAGATAATTCTAGATGAAACTAAAACATCTAAAAGCGACTCGTTTCCGGAGTTAATCAGCCAATTTAATCAGTCAGGATATTTTGTTATATATTAATTTGCAACTGGATATTCATAACCTCCCCTTCATTTCATAAAATCTTTAAATTTATATATATATATATATATATATATATATATATATATATATATATATTATTTATATATATTTATTTAAAATATGATTCCAACTCGCGACATAAGAGGTCTCATGTTTCAAAACAAGAGCCGAAAAATTCAATATAATTATTTGAATTAAATTGAGTTAAAGTAAGCTCTGTTCCATCTTCAAGCGAAATTTTTTTGGAATAACGTATTTCTGAAATTTACGTGTTTTAATAATTGAAAACAAAATTTCCATGATAACAGCTAGGGGGAATTGTTTAAATTGGGTAGGCGTGTGTTGGGTGTTAATAATAAGTATCAGTATAGAGTTACTTTCCTAGATGTCAAGTCAGGGAAAGGTGGGGGTGTCTAAATTTTGAACGGAAGAAGTATAACTCTAGTCTGGTTTGCGTGTCTATGGAGATTTATTTATTTTTTTATTTTATTTTTTTATGAAAGGGATTTGTGCATATAAAAAAATTTGCCGTAACGTTTGTTTTTTGACGACTTCATAAAGGGTTATCTTTTTTCTAGGGTATTTAAACTATTTATTTGGGCTATGGATTATAAAAGTTATTATATTGTATGCTTTTTTTTAGGTAATAATTCAAACCAAAAATCTGATGATGTCGACAAAAAACCGTTAACTCGTGTCTATTGTTTAATAGATTATTATTATTTAGAACTTAATTATGTGCAATTTCTCATGGAGGCACAAAGGGCATGGGTCATCCCAAGTTTTACATGTTCTAGCCTTGTTTATAATTTTCCATTTAACTTTAGGTGTTCTATTTGTTTTCTTCAGATGCCAAAAATATTTAGATAGGGAAGTCTGATTTCTTTTAGCTATATTATTGAAAGAGCACTTATGCTGCCTCCATCTATCATTAAAATTATTCTTCGTGGACCCAATACATATCATTGTTATTATCATTATTATTATTAACATTTCTACACAAGGAATTTTTAAATTATGTCGGTTTTTGTAGGCACCGTTCGTAAATTGGGTATTGTAAGAGTAAAAGGTGAAGGATGTCTTCTCTTAGTAGATGTTTTAGTTATAATGAATGAATGGGTCGTGAATCGGAATAGCTAGGTATAGGATAGTTAATGATGACCAGCCTCACACCACTTCCCCTTTTGGCCTTGTATTGTATATTACAATAATAAATATTCAATTTAATCAGCCAGTCAGTCAGTTAATGAAGCTCGGGTATTAACATAATTTTGTATTGGCATATGATTTAGTGAGTAATTTTGTCATCTATTTACATTATCGGGACTATTGTCCTCATCTTTGTCACCATATTTATCACAACGTTTCGGCCGTTGTACACTCCGGCCATCTTCAGGTGGTTGGAAAGTCGAACTGAATCCTTTATTTCGCTCACTTGGATAGACTGTTCTCGTTCCACGTACCATGTTTAATGGATGTCAGTTATCAGTTATCTCCTGTTAAGTCCCCTCTCCAAGTTCTCCACTGCCTTAACCGGGTATTGAACACACACTCTTTGGGTCCTGTCACTGGGTCTAACCAACGCCTTTATCCACTGTGCCATGTGTCCTTCAGTTCGACATTCCAACCACCTGAAGAAGGCTGGAGCGTACAACGGCCGAAACGTTGTGATAAATATGGCGACATAGATGAGGACAATAGTCCGAATAATGTAAATAGTGTACATAATACCTCATCTCATAAATATAGACGAATTTTATCATCGTGATTTAATAGTTGATTTAATTCGATGTAAGTTTAATTTCATAGATTGTAAGTACCTATTTCATAAGTTCCGATTTAAACCAATGTCTGTGTTTATATTTAAGATTTTCTTAAATTTATATGTTTTTAGTGTTTTAAATACCTTTACAAATTGACAAAACACTCAAGCAATGTCATCAAGCACTAGAAAGTTCAAATACAAAAACAATCCTGATTCATTTTGGTTTGTAACCGGAAATTTTACACTTCCATATCAACGAATAAATATAACTACCTTCGTAAAAAACATTTTTTGCCACAGTGGAAGCTTCATAACTGTTTGTTTTTATTATTATTATTATTTTAAGTCATTTCTATTTGTTATAATGTAATTTTACTAAAGTTTGAACTGTTTGTATTCATGGAAATTGAAAAGAAAAGTTTAACATGATTTAACTTTTTAGTCTTAATTTGAAAAATCTGGAAAATGGCACATAGGCCGTTGACAAGAATTAGGACCTGATGACCCCAAACCGAGTTGAACTTCTTATACATCGCACCCAAATGACCGAGAATAAAGCGTCAGATATCAGTCAATAAAATCTGTGTTCCCCATTATTGATATATAGAGGGCGGGCTATAAGTAGGTTTTGTTTCACTATTTGTTTCACGTTTTTTAGATCACAGCTCAGATCTAGCTAACTTCAGAGCTAACTTCGCCGGACTGTTCTTTTATCAAGCTGGAGCAACTCCCCATTATGCTTTGGCAAGAAGGGACTACCTTAACCAAACTTTTCGAAAGCGTTGCTTCGGAAGAAGCAGCAGCGTTAAAGGGCCAGCACATTCACCTGACCTAATAGCAATGAATTTCTTTTTTTTTTGTGGGGGGGTGTAGAAAAGAACACGGTTTATGAGAGAAATCCCCACACAGTGGACGAATTAAAAGAGTACATCTCAGAAGTATTTATTGAAATTGTTGCAGATCGGGACTTGTGTCTTGCTGTGTGACATAATGTTCAGGAGAGGGTCGAGGAATGTTCCAATGCTAGAGGAGGACATTTTGAGCGCTTAAGAGATTAAACTGTGTTTAAAAAATGAAGTATAGCGTTAAACAAATGTACATAAACAGTTTTGAACAAACATGTTTGTATTAAAACAAATATAAATCTAACAAAATATTTTTAAAAGTGTAAAGTGCATAACTACTAAGGGTTAACTATTTACATTATTCGGACTATTGTCCTCATCTTTGTCGCCATATTTATTATAACGTTTCGGCCGTTGTACACTCCGGCCTTCTTCAGTATCTGTCTATATCTCTGAGATGAGGTATTATGTGCACTATTTGCATTATTCGGACTATTTTCCTCATCTTTGTCGCTATATTTATTATAACGTTTCGGCCGTTGTACACTTCGGCCTTCTTCAGTATCTGTCTATATCTCTGAGATGAGGTACTATGTGCACTATTTGCATTATTCAGACTATTGTCCTCGTCTTTGTCGCCATATTTATCACAACGTTTCGGCCGTTGTACGCTCCGGCCTTCTTCAGGTGGTTGGAATGTCGAACTGAAACCTTTATTTTGCTCAGTGGGGTAGACCTTGAGGGCACATGGCACAGTGGTTAAAGACGTTGGTTAGATCCAGTGACAGGACCCAAAGAGTGTGAGTTCGATACCCGGTTAAGGTAGTGGAGAACTTGGAGAGTGGAATTAACAGGAGATAACTGATAACTGACATCCATTAAACATGGCGCGTGGAACTAGAACAGTCTACTCACTGGCGATCTATGTTCAAACACGAGTGTCGTCAAAGACACTTTATTCATATATAACAAAACATATCTTGGAACGCAAAAATGGTCTTATAGAGAAGAATTTATCAAATGCGTTAGTCAAACATAGAAATAACTACAGCCACAAAATCGATCCAAAGAATGGCACGCTTATGAAAAGAGAAAATAATTTCGACAAAAATTCTTGAGAGTCCTACTATATAAATCTGTGGTCCGGATTTTTTTCAAATAATATTTTTACTTATATTAAGGCACCTCGGCGTAATTAGCAAGCTAGTTTTATTAACTTGGGTAAATAGTAATTGCCTTCTTTTCTTTTTTTCTGGTTGATTGATTTGTTTTTTACGGATTATCAACCCTTTCTGGGTTTAAATAATCCAAACAAGCCTAAACATATTTTGTATTGTATGAAGAAACTCTTTTTTAGCGAATGAATACGAAATTAACAGTTATTTGAGAATAACAATGATCTTTCTAGAGACAAGCACTACTAGTTTGCTGATCGGGGAGGGGAGAGATGGATTTGTATATGAGTATTTACGTGTAAGTGAATGTAACGAACCCGACTGGAATTCGAACACTGCTCTCCGAATTCTCATTTCGAACCGCTAGCCATAACACGTTTACATATTAACAAGTACCATAAGAAAAAATATTTCAGTAAATTCAAATAATTTTGTTTTTAATAATTTTGATTTTAGGGAGAGAAGATTCGTTAGTTTTTTACGAGTTATCAACACTTTGCAGGTCGTTTCAAGTCAGAAAATAGTTTTTTTTAGATTATAAGGATTTGTGTTTAGATAACAATAGTTCAGTGATTCATGTGTTATTCATTAACCCGTACTTATACCAAAGGTATTTGCAGGTAAGTAAATATAACGAAACCAGCGGGAATTGATCTCGGTTCGCCGATTAAAGATTCTGTGCCATTATTCATTACCCCGCCACGGCATATCCTAACATACAGAACCTGACATTTCCAAAGGGTCTCTCATCTAGGTATTGGTCAGACTCGACGTTGGTTAACTTTGGTGACTGTATCAGAACCGGTGTTGTATAGTGATTTGGCCGTAAGTCCTACAGGAAGAAGTGGTAATGTTTTAAAAAAATACTAGAAGCATGGCCCGGCGTTGCCCGTGCTTGATTCAAAAATCGTACGACTCATACAGCACTGCACGCACTAACCTGTTTTTCCCGCGCATAGCGTGACCTTAAATTAATCTGCATTTAGGAAATACCCAACAGGAAAAAAATTTTTAAGGGTTGACCGATTGTCCATTTGCACTCTGTTTGGGGGGGGTGCTCAGAGTTGAAACTTCACATGGTGACTTCCAATGGCCTCCTCATAAATCCGATTGGTTTTCGCTAAAAACCGACATGCGGTTCAGGTGCAATCTGGGCGTATCGGTTTTTGGGTTTTATCGATTTTCTGTGCTATTTAGGGGACCGTGGTCATGAAACTTCTGCACAACACTTCTAAAGGTAGACTCTAAGAGGGTGTCAAATTTGGTTGAAATACGATCATTCCTTCTGTAAGCAGATTTTTTCGATTATCGATTTTTTCGGAACCTGAGTCCGAACTCAAAAATCGGGCTCCGTCATGTCCTTAAGGCAGCCATTTGCAAACTTGTGGTGAAAACCGCTTCGAAATCGGATGAGAAATGCGACCTGAGCGAGGTAACAACACCCACGACAGACACACAGACAGAGAACATAAAAAATATAGATAGTAGATCTATCATTGAATACGTTTTATTTATTTATTTATTTTTTTATTGTATTTTTTGAAAGTAATTTCTTTATTTCAGTTAATCTATCTTGATTAGTTAAATGTCGTCTTCATGCGATTATTTATTTATTATATTTCATTTTGGGAATGGAATATCGTTGTTTTGTTATTTTTTTTTAAATAATTTGTATTTTCATTTTTGTTGTTTGTTGGCATTACCAAATGAAACGCTTTGAAATCTCCTCCTCTAAGAAAAGCTAACATAACTCGATCTTTTATTTTTATTTTTAATCTTTTTGAGAGGAGGAGAAAAAAAAGATATATTTAAAAAAAAAAAATCACTTCCATACTTATCACTTGGCAATATTACATTTTCAGTAGGGAAAAGCCTTGAAGATCCAACCTTTGGATTCTTTTTTGCATAGAGCTTATGGTCTGTTACCCTTATACATACTTGTCTATTGGTTGTCAGGTCAAATGAAGTGAATGACTTCCCCAGCGGGAGTGTTTGCCCCCGAAACGCAGAATAAAAGAAACGAAAAGAAGTGGCCCCAAAAAAAAAAAAAAAAAAAAAACAAGATAAGCAATATGATGGAATGACAAATATTTCAACTATGTTTGTCACAAAGAAGTTGACTTTTTGTGTTAATGTGAAAGAGAAAGCTATAGAAAGAAAAACAGAAAGAAACAAAAAAAAAGATGTCGGAAGCATTTGATTCTTAAGAAAATAACTTCGTCTTCGAAATCAACGTTATTTTTTTTTCTTTCTTTATTTTTATTTTTTCTTTAACACCCTGACTGTATTTTCCTAGTTGAATTTCTTAGCATTTCTTTCCTCTATTCTTACACCGTTTGTTTTCTCTGAGGTTATAATATTGACTCTAGATTTTTACGTTGTTTTGTTTTTTATCATACGCAAAAATATCTTGAAATACCAATGAGTAAATTTATTCAATAAAATCACCACTGGCTTTAACCAGACGACTTCGGAATCTCCTGCTAATCTTCTGGACGGTCTTTTTGTTTAATTTAATGAATGCTGTCCTTATCCTTGTTTTCAATTCATATTTAGTGTTGCAAGGAGTTTTGTTGGTCTCTCGCTCAACTGTGTCCCACACATAATAATCAAAGATGTTGCAGTCTGGGGAGTTAGGTGGCTAAAAGTAAGAGGTGATGTGGTAGCAGATTTTTTCTAATAGCCATGACTTGTTCTCCCGTTTGTGTAGCATGGTGCAGATTTTTACCTTGTTTTTTTTTATCACTTTTTTTTTATATTCGTCGGTACCCCACACTTATGGAGTTGCGCCAAATAACGTTCATTTTGAGTAAATAACTGTTCATTTTCGCTTCCTCGACATTTTCACCTTTCAAGTGTTTTGCACGTCCTCATTTTTTTTTACTTTTTCATATTTCAATGTATTTTTTTTTTCAAACTTAGGTCAACGAATAGGAAGTCAATTTATGCAACTTACAATAACAGATATTTATCTGAACCTCACTTCTTAAGACTGTTTTTAACTTCTCTCTTTAAAATTTCATTCCTCACCCTCACTTTAGGCCCTTTCCTGTTCTTCATCTTTCTTTACACTTCTCTAAAGATCTTTCATACATTTGTCTCTCATCTTTGTTTCTCATTCCCACATATACACTGTCATGGAAATGTATTTATTTTAAACAAGGTGACATATTTTCTGGGTTTTTTTTTTCTTTTCTTTTTTTTTTTTAATTTTTATGTCTAATGAATTGGATGGTGATTACGATTCCAATGTAATAAATTATATCCATAAAATATTTGTGTTTGAGCATTTATATTATATTCTTGCTCTGTCTTTGACATAGAGCCCTACATGGATTTTATCCTCTTGTTAATATATATATATATATATATATATATATATATATGGTTATCCACAGACAGACTCTTTCGCTGTATCACCGCTCATCAGTGTGGCTAAACATCCGATGGTTTCAAGCCGGGATCGATACAACGACCGATTTGTCATCCAGTCAGAGATTCTACCCACAGGCTATCGTCGCAAGGCAGAGCAGAAGGAACGTTTTAACGTCTTTACTATACGAAAGACATCCGTGGCAAGGAGGGCTTGAATCTAGTTGAAAAATCACCCCTCTCTCTCTCTCTCTTCTCTCTCTTTCTCTCTCTATCTCTCATATATATATATATATATATATATATATATTCTAATCTCGCTCTGACGAAGCCTTAATAAAGATTGAGATCCGTTTCCTATTTTGATATATATTTCATATATATATATATATATATATATATATATATATATGATAACGATATATATATTTTATTATTTTATTTCCATATCAACAACAGTACTGGGGGAAAAAGTATGACAAAGTGGAAAATGTCTTCGTGTGACGCGTTTCATCCTTTAGGACATCATCTGACTAAATTTATGTTTAAGTTGATGCAACTTCACATGCGCACGAACGAAAGAGAGACGCTGAGAATTTTAACTTTCAAATAATGTTTCTTTATTATGTTTTTTTTTGCTTATATAATCTCGTTTATTACATTTAGATTCTTTTTTCTTTTGTTTATGTTTTGTCATTTTTGTTATGAAACATCCCACATTGTGATAATAGAAGATCTGCCAAGGAAGATTAAACCTTGTAAGAATCTGGACGCAAACTTACTGGGGATGATTAAATCATTTCTAAAGATTTTCGTCTTAAAATTGTTTTCTTTAAGATTTAAATTTTTAAATATATTTTTAGTCAGCCTCGTTACGGTGATCAACTCGCTTTTTTGTTTATAAAGATCATTTTTTTTTAATTCCTCTTTTATTTAAATTCCTAGAGATTTCTCCGGTGTAGTTCTTGATGAAATTATTACAGGCAATGAGTAAATTTCGCGTTCAAGTTTCAGCCCACTATTTTGTTGACTATTAAGTCTTTTATTGTTTTAGTTGTGACAAATTTTATGTTGAGTTTAGATAAATTCTTTTCATTTGCAGTTGTGATAGAGTTGTTTGGTAGAACAATATATTTTGATTGGTTAGGTTTGCCAGGAGGAACAGTTAATCTACTTTGAAATAAAAACATTTTCGCATTCTATATGAAATAGTATATTAGAGAAGCTTGAGAGTATATTCAATGTATTTCCTACCTTCATGCATATAGTGAGAGCTACAAATTAAATAGAATCAGATGATTATGTCAAATTTAATATGTTGTTTTGGTGAGAATAGAAATTTAAGAGATCATCTTTATTTGTTGATTTGCGATGGACTCTTAGTTATAGGCTATTTTTAACGCGTGTAATATTATATCTAGGTAAGGCAAAGTATTTTCTATTTCCATTTCATATGTAAATTCTATGGTATGTTCGACATTGATTATTTACAAGGTTTGGTAAATCATGACAACTGAGAGTATCGTCAATGTATCAAAAGTATATTGATTTTTTAGGTAAATTATTTTGAAAAGGAATCCTAAGAAAACACTTGCCATCACTCCACTTATCTAAATTACTATTATTGTTAAATGTGAAATAAAATTATTTGGTGATCAAACTACAGATTATTGTTATTTTAGCCGTTGGTAGAAGTGTTTATTTTTTTATTGTCTCTGATGTTTGTTTTTTTTCCCAAAGACTTAATCATTTATTAACGGGGACGTTGGTGTAAAGGAATTTTATATCTAGACTGGATATACATACACATATATATATATATATATATATATATATATATTTTACATACATATATATTTTAAGACATTTTATGTTTATACATGCTTTTGATAGATACAAATATAGTAAATGCTCTATTTATAATAAACAGTATTAAACAACATACAAAATATTCGTCCTCCGACAGGATTCGAACCTGTATCCTATACGGAACAGTCATATAGCCTGACGTGTCTTTTAACCGATTCGGCCAAAGAGGATCGTTCGGTTCCGTATAGGATACAGGTTCGAATCCTGTCGAGGACGAATATTTTCTATGAAAATTTCTCGGACATTCAAGCCGGTAAATATGGTTTAATATTGTTTATTATAAACAGAGCATTTACTTCAAATATTTGTATCTTTGAAAAGAATGTATAAACATAAAATGTTTTAAAATAATTGTCGAACTTTTGTCCATTTCATAATGTGATACACACACACACACACACACACACACATATATATATATATATATATATATATCCTATATATATATATTTATGTTTATATATATTTATATATATATAGTCATCCCGCAATGTTAAAGCATATTTTAAGATATATAGAATAATGTGCTGTATATGTAAGAAATATGTATATATAATGATATATATATATATATATATATATATATATATATGTATATATATATATATATATCATATGTATATATATATATATATATATATATATATATATATATATATATATATATATGAACTCTCCTTTCGATTTCGACATATGAGGATCCGTCAAACCGGTTCAGTTTCTGTGTTTGTCTCGTATGCGACACTTCAGTCACGCTAGGGACCCGCATACAAGTCCTCATATTATGCAACAGCGACCGTCTCGGCACATAGCCACAGGAATTTTTGCTGACGCTTTTCGCCAATTTCTTTCCTCTCCTATCTGGTCAATACGGCTGATTTCGAAATTTTTGATGCCCCTGGCATAAACATCTCTAGTTATTTCTATCCAGGTTAACTCTCTCGAAGTTAGGATGAAGCGCATTGAGAGCTGAGTCTCTTTAGCTTGTCTTTATACATAAGGCACGGCCATCCAACAGTCCTTTCACTGTCAAGTTGGCTATACATGAGGACGTTAGGCATTCTGTCGTCGCTCATCTTTGCGACATGAGCAGCCCGGCGAATTTGTGACTGCATCAGAAAAGTCTCAATTTCACTAATACTGCATTTTACGAGATCACCATCAATATATATATATATATATGTATATATTTATGTATGCATGTTTGTATGTATATTATTTACATTATTCAGACTATTGTCTTCATCTTTGTCGCCATATTTATTACAACGTTTCGGCCGTTGTACACTCCGGCCTTCTTCAGGTGGTTGGAATGTCGAACTGAACCCTTTATTTCGCTCACTGGGGTAGACTGTTCTAGTTCCACGTGCCATGTTTGATCGATGTCAGTTATCAGTTATATATATATATATATATATATATATATATATATATATTTATGAACAATGTAGATGTAGGATTTATATATATATATCCATTTATGTGAAACGTAGGTAGGTAGTTGCTGGCTCCTTAGGAGTTATATATATATATATATATATATATATATATATATATATATATATATATTTCATGTATAGATAGTTCTTCTATACCTCTCTCTTCTCGTTCTCTCTCTCCATCTCCTCTCTCTCTCTCTCTCTCTCTCTCTCTCTCTCTCTCTCCCCCTCTCTATTCTTTCGCATCCTCTTTAGTTTTCTTCTTGGCAGCCATTCTTTCTCTTTCCTTCTCTCCTTAGTACACATTCACATAATTACTTTCACGCACGCATGCGCTCATACACATAATACAGCCCTCTGTCAATCACTCTGTAATCTCTCCCTTCCTTTCTCTATCGATTTTCCAAGCGCCTATTACTTCGATCTATCGATCCGCCCTAATCCCACCGAGATCTATTTCTTTGCCGCTCCAACACCGGCCTGTCACCCATACTCTTTATCAAACCAAGACCTAGCTGTATTACATGTTTACAACTATGACGTAACTGATACTGATCCAATCAGATCACGCATCCTCCGTCCCTCCCACCACCTCGCCCGCATACGTGCATGCACATGCATTCCTAGAGTTTGTTACATAACGAATCTTATAAAGAATTATGTGCAACAAAGTAACAATCACCACTCAGACAGTTGTTAAATCCGCAAATCGGCCACGTTCCATCCCCACGATTGATCAGTCATTTACGTCAGTTAAGTGGAAGATGACACAGTTGTTTGCAATGCTACACCTTACGCTTTCTATAATCTGCAACGGTTAATGCTTGCTGTGTTCGAATAAAGAGATTGCAACTTAGCCCTGTCCACTGGACGACAAAGTGGTCTTCGTTCTGGTGGCATTTCTTAAGAAGGTGAGGACGTGAGAAGTTGCCTCTTTGCTTAAATATATCTGTGCCCGACATCATGTAAGCGAGTGGGGCCTGTATATATATTTGCCAAGAATAAACTTGCCTTTCCCAAAATCGTTTGGAAGATAGAAAAAAAAACGCGGAGAATATTCGAGAAGCTACTAAAACAAAAGATATTGAAGAAAGCAAGCAAATAATAATGAATGCTTAAGATAAACATCTCGACTCACACATACATATCTGTGTATATAATAGAATTTTGAAAAAGAAAATCTCTGTCCGACTCACGTCCAAACCTCTTACGAAATGAAAATCATCAAAATTTTAAATTATTTCTTAGTGCAGTCTAGACTTTCTGCGCAAAAAAATCTTTGTTAACTGAGAGAAAAGATGGCTTGTTAATTTTAACGCCTCCATAACTAAACTAACCTACTCCCCTTTAACCGGCCTTCTATCCGTATGGCTGATGCTAACCTCCAGGAAAGTGACTCGGTGCGCTTTCTCAGAGTAACGTTCTCGGCTGACATGAAGTGGAAAGACTACATTGAAACCATTACTAGCTCAGCTGCTAAGTAAGTTGGTTCTCTGTGTCGTACGGAACAATTTTTCTCTCTAGAATCTATTCTACATACCTAAGTCTGACATTCGTCCATGCTTAAAATATTATTATCACATATGGCTTAGTTCTTCTGCTATTTGCCTAGAGCTTCTTGATAAAATCTAAAAAAGAATCAGCATTATTATTGTACCTGATCTGGCGTTACGACTTCAGTCACTTTCCCACCTCGGCAAGGTGGCCTCCCTGTGCCTTTTCTATAAATACTTTCACGGTTATTGTTCGGATGAACTATTCGCTATGGTACCGATACATTTTCAATTTAAGCGCAGTACTAGTCTGGCGTCGAGATCTCATCAGTTGAGCTGGCTAGATGTAACCGTAAGTTCTATGCTAACAGTTTCTTTTCTAGCACTCCTAGCCTGGGGAACTCCCTTCTGGCTCCATGCTTTCCAGCCAAATTTAATCTTCAACTACAGATAAAACGTATTGTTTGTTGTTTTGCTATAAAATGTAGTGTTAGTAATTCTACTATGCAATGTATTGCTATTGATGTTGCTTAAAAAAACATTGTTGGTTATTTTACTATAAATATGTATTTTTGGTCATTATTTTATATAAAAATCGATTGTTGTATTACAAAAACAAAACACTATGAAAATACATTTTTATATTTTAATAGTGTTTGTTTTTGGGGGGAGGAGGGAGAGGTTCACTATTTGCCCATAACTGTGACCCTAACAAATGCTACCACTCCGGGTCACAATGGTTGGGCATCTGGAAAGGATTAAGCTGAAACAAACTGATCTGAAAGGGTTATTACTCTCCGTTATTACTCTCCGAAAGTGGTTATTACTCTCCGTTAGGTGCCTTTCACATATAGGTATTTACAATCACAAGGAATGTTGTATATTCAGTGAAAATCGAACTAGTTATACAAAAACAAAGCAGTGTGATACTGAAATACTAGCAGAAAATCACAAGGGATCTATGAAGACACCGACATTTAAAACATTTGGTTATACCTTATACAAAGTGAGGATCGAACTCACTGCACTATTTTGTCCTAGGAAATTAAATCACAATCCATTGCTCTTTAGTAATGATACAATAATCCCTCGATAATATATTTCAATTGAGCACTCTGGTGAGAGAGCCTAATTCTACAAACAGCTGCCGCCTAAGCTAAAAGACAAAGCTCTTCAGTAAAATGAATACGAGCACTCTGCGTGACTTGTGTTTGTTTAAATTCGTAAAAACAATAGACGAGAATTAGCAGTTTCTCTCTACTGGCTGCTGATGGCTTAGGGGTAGAAACTCGGACTGATGAAGTGGTCGGGTTTTGATCCTGGTTTGAAGCTTTCGGAAGTCTAGTTGCACTGAGGAGCTGTGATCAGCGAAACAGTACTGTCTGCGGATAACATAATTAAGCAATTGAGCACTCTTGAGAGATAGCCTAATTCTACAAACAGCAGTCGTCTGCGCTAAAACGCAAAGATCTTCAGTAAAATGAATACGAGCACTCCAACTGGCGTTTGTTTACATTCGTAAAAACACGCTAGAATTAGCAGTTTTCTCTCTGCTGACGTAGTAACTCCGGTTTTGAAACCCTGGCTTGAGGCTTTCGGACGTGATGCAGCGAAACAGTACTGTCTGCGAATGACATATATATATATATATATATACTCGACTCTCCCGTCGAATTCGACGTATGAGGGTCAAGCAGATCAGTTCTTAGGAAACCGACAACAGCACATGAGATTTGATTATAGTGTTAAAGGTTTCGTGCAGGACCATCCACACTTTTTGAAGGGCCAAATACGTGCCACAGGGTGCCCCATCGTCCCTCCGCTGGTTTTGAATTTAGAGTTGTCCTTCTCCTAGACCAGTTGCCATCCAAGGCTATAGAACCCAGCCTGTCCTGCTACTTACCCGTAGCTGGAGAGAGAAAAAAAGTATTCACACCTTTCTTAAGGGTATTAGCACGTAAGTAAATGTAACGGATTCGACTGGAATTCGAACTCAGCTCTCCGATTCTTCAATCCACGCCTCTATCCATTACTCTACCGTGCCTCCGATGTATATATGGAAGTGGAGTTTGAGGTCAGCATCCGGCTGCGACAGTTTGTTCCATGCTTAAGCGCAATCTTCTGTACATGTGCGTTGTGTTTTGATTCGACTATCTATATATGCTGGTGAGTGGTGCATTATGGGTAGAAGGTCTATTGTATTATCCTTACAGTTATTGAGTAGACGGTACAGGTTATGTTATTATTCTACCGCCTATTGAGAAGAATTAGCTGTGTATCTGAATGCAATTGTTTGTAGATATTTTATAGTGTCGTTTGTTAATTATTTTAACTCATTGTTCATTATTGATTATTATTTTTCTTGATTATTATTACTATTTCCTTTTGTTTATGTGCATATTCTTAGTTTCTTAATTTCATACTCATTCGAAACCTTTTTACACCGATTTGTTTGTTTTTAGTAATAAATTTATGTTAGTCGTGTTGCCTTATTTACTCCCCCCCATGTCTCCCATTTTCAGTTACACTATTCTGATTATTGTCGTTCCAACGAATCTTTTTGAAGAATGCCCCTTTAAAAGAATGCCGTCATTTTCAAGGCCATATATATATATATATATATATATATGTGTGTGTGTGTGTGTGTGTGTGTGTGTGTGTGTGTGTGTGATAAAAATATAATTTAAGGTATGCTATATTTATGAGTTAAAGTGTTGTATTTTGGTTCGACTATTTATATATACTGGACAATGGTGCATTATGGGTAGCAAGGTCTAGTGCATTATCCTAACGCTTATTGGGTGAGCGTTAACGGTTAAGTTTCAAATTATTCTAGAGGCGATTGATTAGGAATTATTCTGGACCTGAATGCACATATTTGTAAATATTTTATAGTGACGTTTCTTTAAATTTTGACTCCTTATTTATTATTGATTACTTAATTATTTGTTGATTATTATTATTATTAATTATTATTATTATTATTATTAAATTTACTTGTTTTTTTGTGCGCATTCGATTTGATTATTATTTACTTAATTGTTTACTTATTTACTTTTTTTTTTTAATGTTTCATTATGTTATTTTGCTTATATTTTTTCATATTTTTTTTAGCTTTCGATTTTTAAGTAACGTAGTATATATACTGGGTGCGATAGATACCTAACCCATAGGTTATCGACGCCCCGCAGAGAAAAAGTCGAATTTTTACGTATTTATTTTTTTCATAAACACGCCAGTGACCGAGAGAAGTCAATCCAATTTGGAGAGGCTTGCATTATCATCAGTAGTAGTGACTGTTTACAAATTCGTGCTCTTCTCCTCACTGTGCTCGGCCGATTTAAATTTTTTTTTTTGAGAGCTAATATGTAGATCGTTATTTTGTTTATTTGTTTGTTTTTTTCCTTCTAACGAAGGTTTCACAGAAACTCGAATTACGCACAAACTGTGCGACGTGAGTTAATAAAATATAACGACTCGAAAAGAGAATTCGAAAAGCGGAGTTCGAATTACAGCCGATTTCATAACATTCTCTTACAAGAAAATACCATTGGATAAGGTTTAAATCAATCACTTTTCCCTCTCCACCAGCTATGGGTTAAATAGCAGGATAGACTGGATCCTTTAACCTTGGTTGGTAACCAGTTTACCGTAGAATGAAATGGCAGCCTTATTCGGGAAATCTGCCTAGTCATTCATGGATCGAAATAGATATAATTCCCCCAAGTGTGTATCGTATATGGTAATGAGCTGTAGCATAGTTTTAATCCCGTCTGACAACAGTCTCTTGAATTTCATCAGCTATTTTCCTTCATTCGGTAACACACTTAAGGCATCGACGACTCGATAATTGTCATTCGGATGCGCCTAAGTTTCATCAAATTCTTATTAATTCTTTTGCATATGCCTTCCTCCGTGTTCTCCATATTGTCCTGAAGTTCCCGAATCCGATCACGCCTATATATATATATATATATATATATATATATATATATATATATATATATATATATATATATGTGTATAGTAGTTCCAACGAGAGAAAAGTGTGTATATTTAAAAAGAGAGAGAAACCGCTAACGTTTTTGTTGTAATGTGGATTTTCTTTTTAAATATTATGATTTATTTTCCATAATTTTGCTACACGTGTTTCCCATCTCGCGACCGTCATCAGGCAAAGCGAAAGAGATTCCCACATATTATTATTTTTTTTTCTTTTTCTTATGTTCTTCGATGTTAAATATTCTCGATATGGGACATTCTCTTTTTTGTGTGTTAGTGGCCCAAATGTCTTTCTTGAACTGGCAGTGAAAAGTTCTGCGTGTAGAGTTATAAAATAATTAGGATTGGTCCGAGAAATAGTCAAGGAGTTATCGACATTATATATATATATATATATATATATATATATATATATATATATATATATACGGTTAATGACAATGTGTTTTCCCGCTGGTAAGTCTTTTACCCCATTACCAGTATTTGTTTATTGATACCATATTTTTATCGTTTCATGCTGTTTAATTTCAGGGCTGTGTTGAGGTATATTTGGATATTAATTATCCGTTCCTTCCCACGAATTTCGGCAGTACTTTGTTTCATGAATTCCTTTTAGAGGAACAACAACAACATCAATAATAATAATAATAATAATAATAATAATAATAATGAAATAGAAATCTCGAAAATGTGGCATATGGGAACATCAACAATCCCTGTTGTAGTTGGAGCCCTAGGACTGGTTGGAAAGATTGCAGTAGACTAATTGAAGGGATTCCTGGAAGTCCACGCCTCAAGGAGATACAAAAAATTATTCTGACAAGTACAGCCCACACTTTACGAAGGGCTTTATCTATGTAATTTTTTTTTTTTTTTTTTGTCAGTGGAAAGTGTCATAATGCCATTTCTAACCTTAGGTCCCTGGGCGGGACCCGGAAAGAAATGTGTAAACGGCAGAAATCAAATAAAATAATAATAATAATAATAATAATTCACTCAAAACACTCTATTAGTGTTTTGAATGAATGATTTTATGGAGTCTATCTAAGGACAAAAATAACCATCTACACCCTTCAATCTTTCTTTCTCCAATATTCCTGCTATCCGTTCCAACTTCTGCAACTTAGAATGTTTTCTCCAGATATATTTATTCTCTGTGACACCAACTTGAATTCTTTCATTGCTACCAATAAATTCTTGGGTCTTCCCCATTGCCGAAAAGATTCTATTATTTGCATTCATGTTCTTGGTGTTTACTTCCGGCATAATCTTCCGATGGCCAGTGAATTTTCTCTCGAGGCCACTGACTACTCTCTCATATGTCTTTGCCTTTTGCCACTATATCAACTATCGATTTTTACTTTTTCGCCCCCTCCCCTTTCCCAAGACTGCTGTATATTAGACGCAACAGCTGAAATGCACTTTCTCTCCACCCATCTACGAACAACTTTCTTTCGGTGACTTTAATGTTCCCACGACACGAGGCTAAAATATTCTAAAGTTTGACTGTATACAGATATTAAATTTTTCCATTGCCCAATCCCGCACTTAAATCGTAGACTTCCCAACTTATTTCCCTTGCCAAACCGTGCAACAGGCTTCTCTACTAGATCTATATTTCTAACCTCCTCTCCTCGCACTTGCTGAACTTCACAATATTGCCCTCTTGGTAACTCGGACCACTCTGTGATAGCTATTGATATCTCCTTCCAAGCATCCATTAAACAGGATCCCCCACAATCCATAAGTCTTCTTTCCGTTATCAGCATGTTGATTGGGACTCATTCCGAAATTTTCTTCTTGACGCCCCTTGGACTGACACCTTCAATCTCCCAATTGAAAATTGCGTCACTGAGGTTTCTTCTTACGTCAAGTCCAGCAGAGACCCTTTCATCCCTACTTGGAAATACCAAGTGAAA